AGGCGCCTGGCGGACACCGTAGACTGGCCACCGGAGGCTCCAATGGGTACCTGCAGGAAACGACCCAGTGAAGCCAGGTGGGCGGCGCAACCAAATCTCCTCGTGCAGGTTGCCCTGCAAGAAAGTTGTGCTGAATTCAAGAGAGTGCAGCTCGTAGTCACGCTGAGCTGCGACGTGCAGGAGAACCCGAAGAGCGGTCATCTTTGGGGTAGGGGAGAAGGTCTGGAAGAAGTCAACTCCCTATCGCTGACTGAAGCCTCGTGCAACGTAACAAGCCTTGAAGACAGGCGGAGAACCCGGCGGCCGCTTCACCTTGAAAATCCACATACCATCAACTATGTTCACCCCAGAAAGGGGAACTGCGTCGACGTAGGTGCCTGTGGACTTCCAGGATGCCATCTCTGCGTCCATGGCTGTCGGCCAATAAGAGGAATAGGGACCCGTAATCGCCTCTGCGTAAGAGCGCGGGGTCGGGATATCTGGTGCATCCGGGTCTCCCTCAGGTGCAAGCAGCATGGCCACGAGATGAGGTACAGCAGCTGCAAGACACTCAAAATCCTCATGCCTGTCCTCAAGGACGTCCGTGCCAAGAGCACACTCACCACCAACGGACGGAGGACAGTCAGACTCTGACTCAGCAACAAGACTAGCGGCGTAGGTGAGACGACAAGCGGCAGCAAATTCAACAAGCTCAGCAACTAGGGAAGGCGTAGCAATGGACTCAAACGAAGGGTCAGTAACAACAGTGGCTAGAAGACGAGGGTTTGTAGGACTGGCAGCACGAGCTAAGTCAAACTTAGGGTCAGGAACGGTAGGAAGAGAGGACGCAGGAGGAGGCGGCAGGAGAACTCGCAGTGGAACAGAGGAAGGACGAAGTGCCATAATGTGAGTGCCGGGGACAGGAGGAGGACGCGGACGAGGAACACGACGACCAGTGCGAACAGGTGAGGCATGACGAGACTCAGGCTCACGATGCTTTGTAAGAGAGTCTGTCTGCTCAGCGTAAGGAGAAAGAGCAGGCATTAGGGAGTCTGGCTGTAAGTGTGGCTGCGACTAGTGAGGCGGTGGACACAGTAAGCTAGGAGTAAGGCCAGTAGAAGACGAGAGACTAAGAACCTGGCGAAGGACCGAGTCAGGTGGCGGCAGAGACGACGGCTGCGGCGGAACGAAAAACGGGCGCCGCTGCACAGTGCCTCCAGCACCAGGACCGCCAGCTCCATCACCCCCAGCGCCAGCACCTCCAGCTCCAGGGTCTCCAGCTCCAGCGCCTCCAGCACCAGCGCCTCCAGCGCCAGCGCCTCCAGCTCCAGCACCTCCAGCTCTAGTGCCTCCAGCTCCAGCTCCTCCAGCTCCAGCGCCTCCAGCGCTAGTGCCTCCAGCTCCAGGGTCTCCAGCTCCAGCGCCTCCAGCTCCAGCTCCTCCAGCTCTAGTGCCTCCAGCTCCAGGTTCTCCAGCTCCAGCGCCTCCAACACCACCAGCTCCGGCAACTCCAGTACCCCTAGTACGAGCACCTCCAGGACCAGCAGCTCCAGCACCTCCAGGACTAGAATCTCCAGCACCTCCAGCTCCAGTGCCCCCAGCTCCAGCGCCACGAGCGCCAGTGCCTCCAGCTCTAGGGTCTCCATCTCTAGCGCCTCCAGCGCCAGGGTCTCCCGCTCCAGTGCCTCCAACACCACCAGCTCTGGCAGCTCCAGTACCACTAGTACGAGCACCTCTAGGACCAGCACCTCCAGCTCCAGCACCTCCAGCTCCAGTGCCTCCAGCGGTAGAGCCTCCAGCTCCTACAGCGCCACTCCTAATGCGTGTGCGCTGAGCAAACCACTCGCGCAGCTGCTGCGGTGAGAGAGGCTCCCGCCGGTGAGACAGTCGTGGCGAGGCACCTGCAGGACCTCCGGCAGACGTAGTACCCCTAGGCTCAGCACCCCCAGACTCCGAACCCTCAGACTCAGCACCCCCAGGCTCCGCACCCTCAGGCTCAGTACCCCCAGGCTCCGCACCCTCAGGCTCAGCACCCCCTGACTCTGCACCTTCAGACTCAGCACCCCCAGGATCCGCACCCTCAGGCTCAGCACCCCTAGGCTCCGCACTCGTAGGCTCAGCACCCCCAGACGCAGCACCCCCAGACACATCACCCCCAGGCGCAGCACCTCTAGCAGCACCTGAGTCTACAGCGACCTCAACAGGCACAGCCAGGGGGAGTGGGTCTACCTGAGACACACCTGCGGGAGCAGGACCCTGAGGGGGGAGGGGGTCTACTGGAGGGGGACCTGGAGCGAGGAAGAGCGGCGGGGGGGGGGGGGGGGAGAGGGGCAGTGCGGTAGGGGAAGAGACAGTAAAAGGGAACCGACTCGTCAAACGTGACATCCTGAGAGTTGAGGATACGGTGCGAGGTGGGTTGGTGAAACTGCCAGCCAGGCGCGTCAGGGGGAAAGCCAAGGAAGACACTGGGAATAGCGCGGGAGGAGAGCTTGTCTGCGGAAGTATCGCGAACAAAGGCACGAGAGCCCCAGACCCGTAACACCGACGCATCGCCAACCTTCCCCGTCCAACGCAGTGTAGGCGAGGTCTCTGGCAAGGAGACACGGGGCCAGAGGTTGAGCTGATGTGCAGTGTACTGGACCGCAAACGGCAACAGAAAATGGCGAGCAGCCGCATGGATCATGGAGGTACGAGCCACCTCCATGACTAAGAAAATGCGGCGCTCAGCAACCCGATTTTTCTGCGGGGAGGTTGGAAGCTTGAACGACTGGAGAATGCCCTCCTCACGACAAAAGTCCCGCAAGAGGTTGGAGGAGAGCTCACCACCTCTGTTAGAGTGCAGACGCAGGACAAGAAGATCCTGGCAGAACCACTCGCGGAGCTGGAGACGGACTGCGCGGATCCAAGGGATCAAGACATCAGGGACCTCACCCTTGCTGCGCAAGGGGAAGACCGTGGTGTAACGCGTGTAGTCGTCAACAACCTGCAGGAAGCAGCACTCGCTGTCCTGTCCACTGACGCGGGCTGGGCCCCACACGTCCATGTGGAGAGTCTGTGGGGGAGCAGTCGTTGGGGGAAACGAGGAGGAGTGAGGAGCGGCATGCTGCCGCCCCTCGACGCAAGGAAGGCAGGGCGGGGCAGGCGAGGGCGGGAGGGGAGTCAGAGACCTGGGAAGACCAGAAACAAGGAGGCGGGAGTGCATGCCATGAAGGCGTGGCAGGGAGGGGTGACCAAGGCTGTGGTGCCACTAGAGAGTCTGGTGCGACAGGAGGCGACACAAGCAGGGGGCTGCTACCGGACCTAACGCGGACACCTGAGCAGACGGAGGTACCTGAGAAGGCTCAGCAGTCAGTGTGTACAAACTCGATCCTGGCCGATGGGTGAACGTGGCCAGGTGACGGCCCGTCCGTATACACGTGCAGATCGACACACGCTGACCCCTAGGAGTGGTGGTAGTGACCATCGCATCCTGAAGGGCAGCGGTACTCACCAAGTTTGTAGAGAATGAGAGGAGGTGAAGACCTGAGAGTGAGCTGGATGGAACCGCCGGACACAGAAGAACAGTGGAGGAACGGGCAAGAACTGGGCCCCCTGAGGGGTCAGCCAGTCTGACTGGAACAGGTGCAAGGAGTGGAGTGAGGGTGGTACTGTCGCGAAAGAAACAGCGGGAAGCACCTGAGTCAAGTGTGAAGGTGTGCAAGGCCTCAGCAGTCGCAGTACCAGGGAGAGCAGACTCACTAGCACCTAGAGCAGCAGCCTCTATACCTGGGTCGGGCGGCACATACAGGTAACAGTCACCCTCAGCACTAACAGTCAAGGCATACATGGCAGCAAGGATAGCATCATAGTCAAGAGCAAGCAGGGCGCCAGCAGGGCGCCGGCCAGCAGGGCTGCGCGCAGTAGGGCGGGCAGCAGCCGGGCGGCGCGAGCAGCAAGGCGGCGCGCAGCAGGGCGGTGTGGGCAGCAGGGCGGCTCAGCGCGGGCAAGGCAGGGCGACGCGCAGGTAGGGCAGGGCGGCGCGGCTGCCAGCAATGCAACGCGCGGGCAGGGCAGGGCGACGCGATAGGCAGCAGCAGGGCGACGCGACAGACAGCAGCAGGGCGACGCGACAGCCAGCAGGGCGATACGACAGGCAGGGCAGGGTGACGTGACAGGCAGGGCAGGGCGACGCGACTATTGGGGCAGCGCTATGTGGTGGGCCCTAAAAAAAATGGTCCTGGAACAGGACCTGCTCTGAAACCATGTCAGAATACTGAACGAGAATGAATGCATTGAACATAAAGTTGGTACAAGTACTAACCCTAATTGGGTTGTACCCCTTATGGGCTACCCCACTACAGCCTACACAATGTAAGCATTATAACATTTTGACATGGAGTTCCTTGAAGGGTTGGAGAAGAGGGCAGTTGAGGATGAAAGCGAAGGCATCCCCCAAGAGATTGCTTATGAGAAGTTGTTTGGGCGAAAGGAGGAGTTGGAAGTGGTTGAAGAATGTCTTGTGGGTGTTGAGTGTGGTTGTGGCATTGATGCGGGTCGCGATGGAGGAATTAAGGTGCCTTGGTAGACCATGGAATGTTGCCACTGGTACCGTAACCTAAATTTTAAATGTGGAACTTTTACATAGGGCTATTTTTATCTGGGTGGATGGTCGCACTTTTGGCCCAGTCTACCAATTTTCTTATGAGTTTTTGCCTTGAACTGGATGCTTGTTATGTGCCGTACCTTGTTTGTGATAAAATCATCTGACAGACAGGGTGAGATCACCAAGGCACCTTGATTTCAGAGATGCTTAAAACCCTAATTTGAGATGAAGTACTCTCCTTTTTTGTGCACCGTTTCATGTCGTGATACGTCTTCTGCAGTATAGTGGCAATGGCAGTGGTTCTAGATTTCAGTGTTCTGCACACATTGGTCTCGGCAACAAGAGAAGACTGCCATTTCACAGTTGCCAATTCTTCAGCAGGACACCACCAAGCCTTGAGGCATATGGCTGCCATTGTCAGACACCTAAAACATTCGCTTTAATCAATGGGGTGCTTGTCTGTTCGCTTTGAGGTGTGCTGAGCAGCAAAGACCACAATGGTGATGACAGAGCTGGCAACAAAGATGGCATCGAACCACCTGTAGAAAAAGTTGAACTGTATGTCGCCTCCCAGTACCTCCGTGATCAACAGCCTGCCACAGGCATGGCATGGCAGGTAAAAATGAAGTGGGACAAGCATGGCAGGTAACAATGAAGTGCAACAAGCACGGCAGGTAACAAGGAACACAGGTGAATGTTTGGGTATTTATGTGAAACAGGAGCCAGCTGCCGATTGGAACACCTTCTAAGCAACCTTACGCAACAGGGAGGCAGACAGGGAGTCAGCAAGAAGAGCCTCGTGGTGTGCATACAGGAATAAGTGTTGCCGTGAACTAGTGAAGTGCACAGAGGAAAATTTCAGGCACACACAGATCGCATTGAGGTCTGATATAAGCCTAACGAGGTTTTGGGCATGCGCACCTGTATTGCAGCGCGAGGCTGTTTCTTATAAGGAGGATGGAGGAGACGAAGTAGGTGCCCATGATCTCCGCCAGGAAGAGCACCGCGTTGCTTGAGGCTCCACTGGCGCCCCCTGACACTGCTGAGAGGAACTGGAGAGGGGGTGGGACGTGGAGTGGTGAGGGAAGATGGGGGGGATGAAGAGGATGGGATATTGCTGCATGCCCCACGGGCCACGGGCCCCGTTTGACACTGCTGAGAGGAACTGCACGCGGTGGGACGGAGGGGGGTAGAAAAAGTGGTGAGGGAAGGAGGCGGGGATGGGGAACACATAAAGAGCACTGCGTTGCTTCACGCCCCACTGGCGCCTCCTGACACTGCTGAGAGGAACTGCAAATGGTGGGGGGCGAGTGGGAGGTAAGGTATGGTGAGGGAAGGTGGGAGGGATGGGGAAGCGTATTCAAGGAGGAGAGAGTAATTGCTGCACGCCCCACTGGCGCCTCCTGACACAGCTGAGAGGAACTGAGAGCAGTGGGAAGGAGGGGGAGTAGAGGAGTGGTGAGCGAGGGGAGGGGGGAAGGGTATGGAAGAACATAGCCACTCAGATGCGAAACGAGTGAGAAGGTGAAGGCTTTTGAGTCAACTCAAGAGGAGTGGTGAGCAAGGGGAGGGGGGAAGAGTATGGAAGGACATAGCCACTCAGATGCGAAACGAGTGAGAAGGTGAAGGCTTTTGATTCGACTCAAGAGGAGTGGTGAGCAAGGGGAGAGGGGAGGGGGGAAGAGTATGGAAGGACATAGCCACTCAGACGCGAAACGAGTGAGCAGGTGAAGAAAGGCAAGGGGACGGCTAACACGACAGATGCGGCAGTTCTGGCGACTCAACCGAAGGCACAACCAAAGGTGAGCCCTAAGGGTTGCCCACTTTTGAGAGGCCTCAAAGGCAGGTGAAGGAAGAGCAGGAGGAGGCTAACAGGGCAGATGCGGCAGTGTGGACAACTCAACCAGAGGCACAGCCATAGGTAAGCCCTAAGGGTCGGCCTCTTACCTTGGTGAGGTTAGTGAGGAAGCCTCTAATGGAGACGGTGATGAGGATGCCTATGAACACCAGCGAGACGTACTGTAAAGGGGATGTTGAGGGGAATCATGGGGGGGGTTGGGCGTGAGGGGGAAGGGAGGAGACTCCAAGAGGAAGGAGGAAGATGCGAGCACGAGGAGGTGTGGGTCGAAGAATGGGTGTGCATGCGTGCGTTTACTAGTGCTTTCCTTTTGCTTTAGGCTCAAGAGGAGTGTGCAAGCTTTTAACGAATTGTGTGAAAATATCGAATGCGGAAGTAGGAACATGAGCACCTGGAGGTGGAAGAATGGCTGCCATTCTTCCACCTCCATGTGCTCATGTTCCTACTTCCTCCGCATCCTTGATGAGAATGGTGCTCATCCTTGCATACCAGAATCACGTCGGACAACCACTTGACAAAGAAGAAGAAGCAAGAAGGATGAGATCGAATGGTCGAGGGGCAGGCATCAACGTTCTGCAACTTTCACATACCACCGGGACGACAATTTGCGATGGGATGAGTAATGGCGGACTAGGAGACCCAGGCAGCAAGCAGCACAACAGGCAGGCGAGCGGATGTGAACGGCCTTGAAAGCAGAGAGCTTGAGCATCAGCTGAGAGTTAACGCAGCGATTACCAGCAGTTACCAGCGGTTACCACCTGCGGTTACCTGCGATACGAGCAGCACGTTGAGGCTGATGTGGAAGAACTTGAGAATGAAGCCCAGCGCTCTCGTCAGAGGGTCGCCCATGCCCATCTGCGAAGGTGGAGCGCGGTGGAGAAGGGTGGCGAAAGGTGGAGAGGGGTCAGCTATGATGGCATTTAGGAGGGAGACACGCACAAGTAGGCGGTGGTTGCCAGTAACAGCATGGTGTCTCCCGCAGCAGTGAAAATGCGTGGTGACTGATTGACAGCTCCTGAGAAGCAGACTAGCGTTCGCTTGTTTGCACATGCAAGAAGGAGAAGGACAGGCAAGGAAGACTGCAGTTGCTGGTGTACACACAGACAAGGTCAGAAGCGCACCTCCTTGGTGATGATTGTCCGCGTGGACTGAGGGGCGATGATGGCCCAAGAACCCGTGAGTAGCAGCCACAGGCGAGGGCACAGGTGAGGGCACAGGTGAGGGCATAGGTGACAGTGGATGTGCAGAATTGAGAGGGAGAAGCAGAAAGGAAGGCACAAAAAAATAAAAAGCATTTTGTACAAGTATACACACATACATACACGAAGGGGAAATATTTCCTGAAGGAAGAAAATAAACAGTTCAATGTCAAGTAGAGGGAATACAATCTGCATATTGTGGAGTGCTTTACAAGAGAAAGCTGGTGCTTCTCACAGGTGCATACAAGCACAAGTCATGCTGTGTAACCATACCATGTACATCTTATTTATACCATACCGTGTACATCTTAGCGATGCCATACCGTGTACATCTTAGCGATGCCATACCATGTACATCTTAACAATACCATACCGTGTACATCTTAGCAATGCCATACCGTGTACATCTTAGCGATGCCATACCGTGTACATCTTGGCAGTACCATACCGTGTACATCTTAACAATACCATACCGTGTACATCTTAGCGATGCCATACCGTGTACATCTTAGCGATGCCATACCGTGTACATCTTAGCGATGCCATACCGTGTACATCTTAACAATACCATACCGTGTACATCTTAGCGATGCCATACCGTGTACGTCTTAGCGATGCCATACCGTGTACATCTTGGCAATACCATACCGTGTACATCTTAACAGTACCATACCGTGAACATCTTAGCGATGCCATACCGTGTACATCTTAGCGATGCCATACCGTGTACATCTTGGCAATACAGTAAGCAGAGCCGATGTAGCCGAAGATGTTCTTCACATGTCCCTTCCACGTGCGTGAATACGCCATGGCTGCCTGTGGGGCGGCAAGGGTGCAGAGGGGAAGGAGGGGGGGCAGGAAGGACATGTGAATGGGACCCCATTCAAACCTTCTAATCTCCCACCTCCTCCCTAAGTTTGCAAATGTGGAGAAGTGCATGTGAGTGGAGACTTCAATAAAGAGCCAAGGTGGATTCAGGTTGCAACTTCTGGGTTCAGCTGTCCTACCCCCGAAACAACTTTCAGGTACAAACAGGACCCATTGCCTTCCACCTAATCCTCTCTAGGATGGAGAGGTCAGCTGAAGACAAGACTCACCGACCCACACTTTCTCCCCACAGAGGGTGCAGAGGGTGTGATTGTGTGGGGCGCGGGCGCCTAAAGAGCCAAGAGGGATTCAGCTTGTAGCTTTAGGTCTATCTATCATCACTCCTTCACCCCTCCCACCCCCCACCCCACCTTCTCCTCCCTAAGGGTGCAGATGTTGAGGAAGAGCGAGCGGGTGAGCGCTTCAAGGGCCTTGATCTCTGCCTCCGTGGCATGCAGCTCTAGCAGCAGCGGCGGGTAGCCCTTCAGCCGCATGGTCTCTGGTGAGTGAGGAGAGTGGGGGGAGGGGATGGGGGAAACATTAGCCCTTGAGCCAAATCTGTGGCATGCAGCTCTGACTTGTTTTCACATCATCCCACCCGCCTTCATCCCTCTCCGGCACTCATTAGAGCTCTCATCGTCCCTGCAACTCATCCCCCTCCGCCTTTCCATTTGTGGGTCATACACGCCAAAGAATGCAACCACACACCCATATACTCTCCCTCAAACTCAAAACAACACACCCACCCACCTTCATTCCCCTCCTGACCCTCATTCCCCTCTTCTCACCCTCATCCCCCGATTCTCACCCTCATCCCCCTCTTCTCACCTTCGTCCCTCTTCCCACACTCATCAACCTCCTCCCACCCTCACCCCTCTCCTCTCTCCCTCACAACCCTCCTCTCACTCTCATCCCCCTCCTTGCACTGTCATCCCCGTCCGCTCACACTCATCCTCCCTCCCCCCACCTTCGTCCCTCTCCTCCTCCCTGGGTGTGCGCATCAGCACCCCAAACACTGCTGATGAGGTATATCCCAACCACCACTGCTCTCCCCACCCACATCCCCCTCAACACCTCCCTCCCTTTCCCCACGTTCCCTCCCCCCACCTTCGTCCCTCTCCTCCTCCTCCCTGGGTGCGCGCATCAGCAGACCCAACACCTATCTCAACCGTCACTTCACTCCCACCCACATCCCTGTTACCAAAACCCTACCTCCACCCAACTTCCTTCCCCTCCCCCCGCCTTCCATTCCTCCCCACCTTCGTCCCTCTCCTCCTCCCTGGGGGCGCGCATCAGCACCCCCACCACCTATATCCCAACCATTACTTCTCTCCCCACCCACATCCCCCTCAACACCTCCCTCCCTCCCCCACCTTCCTGTCATCCCCACCTTCGTCCCTCTCCTCCTCCCTGGGGGCGCGCATCAGCAGACCCACGAATCGTCGCAGCACTGACGCACCCCGTGTGCCCCCTTGCAGCTCCTGCCCGCACAGCCAGGCGAGGGGGCACGGGGAAACGGGGAAGGGGGAGGGGGGAGGGGGGAGGTGGGGAGACAGGGGGAAAAGGGAAGGGGGAAGGGGGAGGAGTGAGGGGGAAAAAGGGAGGGGGGGGGTGGGAAGGACATCATTGCTGAAAAGCAGACAGCTCCTGTGAGGGCATGCAGCTTTCCTTCCAGTGGTTGGCGCAGTGGAGAGAGAGAAGAGGCATGGAAGGATCGTTCGAGACGCGGCACGGAAGGGGGATGATAGGAGAGGCAGACGGCTCGCCTGGGGCCCATGCAATTCAGATGGTCGGCACAACACAGGTTCGGCGAGCAGGCATGCAGGGGCGACGGGGGAAGGGGGAGGGGAGATGTGGGCATGATGGAGGAAAAGGGGGCCACGGGAAAACGGGAGATGAGGGGGAAGGAAGGAAGCAGAGGGGGGGGGGGGGGGGGGGGGGGAAGGGGGAGGGGGGTGAGAGCCATGGGAAGAATGACGCCCCTACAAGCCATTGTACAGTCCCTAGGAGGTAAGCAACATCTATGCACAGGACTCGTGGACTGATAGAGGAGGAGAGGGGGATAGTGGTTGTGAAAGGGAAGTTTGTCGCATTGAGTGAGGATTTCGAGTCTCACCTGCATGAGGTGCGGGTGGGTGCGGTAGAGGTGCGGGTGGGTGCGGTCGAGGTGCATGCACATGAGCAAGGCGCACTTCTTCTTCCCCACCAGCATCTCCATGCCGTGCCTCAGCCGCGTTTTGAGACGTCTCAAAACCACTTCTTCTTCCCCACCAGCATCTCCATGCCGTGCCTCAGCTGCGTTTTAAGACGTCTCAAAACCACTTCTTCTTCCCCACCAGCATCTTCATGCCGTGCCTCAGCCGCGTTTTGAGACGTCTCAAAACCACTTCTTCTTCCCCACCAGCATCTCCATGTCGTGCCTCAGCCGCGTTTTAAGACGTCTCAAAACCACTTCTTCTTCCCCACCAGCATCTCCATGCCGTGCCTCAGCCGCGTTTTGAGACGTCTCAAAACCACATCTTCTTCCCCACCAGCATCTCCATGCCGTGCCTCAGCCGCGTTTTGAGACGTCTCAAAACCACTTCTTCTTCCCCACCAGCATCTCCATGCCATGCCTCACCCGCGTTTTAAGACGTCTCAAAACCACTTCTTCTTCCCCACCAGCATCTCCATGCCATGCCTCAGCCACGTTTTAAGACGTCTCAAAACCACTTCTTCCCCACCAGCATCTCCATGCCGTGCCTCAGCCGCGCTTTGAGACGTCTCAAAACCACTTCTTCTTCCCCACCAGCATCTCCATGCCATGCCTCACCCGCGTTTTAAGACGTCTCAAAACCACTTCTTCTTCCCCACCAGCATCTCCATGCCATGCCTCAGCCACGTTTTAAGACGTCTCAAAACCACTTCTTCCCCACCAGCATCTCCATGCCGTGCCTCAGCCGCGCTTTGAGACGTCTCAAAACCACTTCTTCTTCCCCACCAGCATCTCCATGCCGTGCCTCAGCCGCGTTTTGAGACGTCTCAAAACCACTTCTTCTTCCCCACCAGCATCTCCATGCCGTGCCTCAGCCGCGTTTTGAGACGTCTCAAAACCACTTCTTCTTCCCCACCAGCATCTCCATGCCGTGCCTCAGCCGCGTTTTGAGACGTCTCAAAACCACTTCTTCTTCCCCACCAGCATCTCCATGCCGTGCCTCAGCCGCGTTTTAAGACGTCTCAAAACCACTTCTTCCCCACCAGCATCTCCATGCCGTGCCTCAGCCGCATTTTGAGACGTCTCAAAACCACTTCTTCTTCCCCACCAGCATCTCCATGCCGTGCCTCAGCCGCGTTTTGAGACGTCTCAAAACCACTTCTTCTTCCCCACCAGCATCTCCATGCCGTGCCTCAGCCGCGTTTTGAGACGTCTCAAAACCACTTCTTCTTCCCCACCAGCATCTCCATGCCGTGCCTCAGCCGCGTTTTAAGACGTCTCAAAACCACTTCTTCTTCCCCACCAGCATCTCCATGCCGTGCTTCAGCCGCGTTTTGAGACGTCTCAAAACCACTTCTTCTTCCCCACCAGCATCTCCATGCCGTGCTTCAGCCGCATTTTGAGACATCTCAAAACCACTTCTTCCCCACCAGCATCTCCATGCCGTGCCTCAGCCACGTTTTAAGACATCTCAAAACCAGGTGGGGGTGTGGGCGACTCACTTGCATGAGGTGGGGGTGGGTGCGATCAAGCTACATTCGCATCAGCAGTGCGCGTTTCTTCTTTCCCACCAGCATCTCCATCCCATGCCTCAGCCGCCGCTCCAATGAGCCTATCTCCGCCTCGTCAATCTCTCTGTGGCAGGCAGCACGCATGTAGGGGGCAGCACGCATGTAGGGGGCAGCACGCATGTAGGGGGCAGCATGCATGTAGGGGGCAGCATGCATGCGCAAGGGACAGAACGCACGTGGAACATGAGCAGAGCAGCATGCCTCGTTTCTTCTTCTCCACCAGCATCTCCATGCCATGCCGCAGCCGCCGCTCTTACGCCCCTATCTCCGCCTCATCAATCTCCGCACAGCAGTGACGCACGTGCATGGGGCACAGCAGAGCGTCAGACAGGGTAAGAGACAGGGAGGTTGTAATACTGGTGCCCCCTCAATCTCCCTGCCTGCTTCAACGTGTCTATCTCCCTAGCGACAAACTGGCTAAGTGGATGGCAGGTTGATACCACCATAGTCTGTCAGAACTGCCATGTGCTTGTAGTTCAGGAAGAATAACAACCTGATGAAGAGCGAGAGGTAGGTGTTACCTGATGAAGAGCGAGAGGTAGGTGTTACCTGATGAAGAGCGAGAGGTAGGTGTTACCTGATGAAGAGCGAGAGGTACCTGATGAAGAGCGAGAGGTAGGTGGTACCTGATGAAGAGCGAGAGGTAGGTGTTACCTGATGAAGAGCGAGAGGTAGGTGTTACCTGATGAAGAACGAGAGGTAGGTGGTACCTGATGAAGAGCGAGAGGTAGGTGTTACGTGATGAAGAGCGAGAGGTAGGTGGTACCTGATGAAGAGCGAGAGGTAGGTGGTACCTGATGAAGAGCGAGAGGTAGGTGTAAGGCAGGTTGACCGCCCCGTAGCCTGACAGCACAGCCAAGAGTGTCACGCCTATCACCCCCACTCGACTCACCATCTGCGCCACTGTGAAAAGACCTGCAGGCGGTGCAAGAGGAAATGCGGAAGAGAGTGGGGGAAGAGAGAAGGGGAAGAGAGTGGGGGAAGAGAGTGGGGGAAGAGAGTGGGGGAAGAGAGTGGGGGAAGAGAGTGGGGAAGAGAGTGGGGGAAGAGAGTGGGGGAAGAGAGTGGGGGAAGAGAGTGGGGGAAGAGAGTGGGGGAGAGAGTGGGGAAGAGAGTGGGGGAAGAGAGTGGGGGAAGAGAGTGGGGAAGAGAGTGGGGGAAGAGAGTGGGGGAAGAGAGTGGGGAAGAGAGTGGGGGAAGAGAGTGGGGGAAGAGAGTGGGGAAGAGAGTGGGGAAGAGAGTGGGGAAGAGAGTGGGGGAAGAGAGTGGGGGAAGAGAGTGGGGAAGAGAGTGGGGGAAGGAGTGGGGGAAGAGAGTGGGGGAAGAGAGTGGGGGAAGAGAGTGGGGAAGAGAGTGGGGGAAGAGAGTGGGGGAAGAGAGTGGGGAGTGGGGGAAGAGAGTGGGGGAGAAGAAGAGTGGGGGAAGAGAGTGGGGGAGAGAGAGTGGGGGAAGAGAGTGGGGGAAGAGAGTGGGGAAGAGAGTGGGGAAGAGAGTGGGGGAAGAGAGTGGGGGAAGGAGAGTGGGGAAGAGAGTGGGGGAAGAGAGTGGGGGAAGAGAGTGGGGGAAGAGAGTGGGGGAAGAGAGTGGGGGAAGAGAGTGGGGGAAGAGAGTGGGGAAGAGAGTGGGGGAGAGAGTGGGGGAAGAGAGTGGGGGAAGAGAGTGGGAAGAGTGGGAAGAGAGTGGGGGAAGAGAGTGGGGGAAGAGAGTGGGGGAAGAGAGTGGGGGAAGGGAAGAGAGTGGGGGAAGAGAGTGGGGGAAGAGAGTGGGGGAAGAGAGTGGGGAAGAGAGTGGGGGAAGAGAGTGGGGGAAGAGAGTGGGGGAAGAGAGTGGGGGAAGAGAGTGGGGGAAGAGAGTGGGGAAGAGAGTGGGGAAGAGAGTGGGGGAAGAGAGTGGGGGAAGAGAGTGGGGAAGAGAGTGGGGAAGAGAGTGGGGGAAGAGAGTGGGGGAAGAGAGTGGGGGAAGAGAGTGGGGGAAGAGAGTGGGGGAAGAGAGTGGGGAAGAGAGTGGGGGAAGAGAGTGGGGGAAGAGAGTGGGGAAGAGAGTGGGGGAAGAGAGTGGGGGAAGAGAGTGGGGAAGAGAGTGGGGGAAGAGAGTGGGGAAGAGAGTGGGGGAAGAGAGTGGGGGAAGAGAGTGGGGGAAGAGAGTGGGGAAGAGAGTGGGGGAAGAGAGTGGGGGAAGAGAGTGGGGGAAGAGAGTGGGGGAAGAGAGTGGGGGAAGAGAGTGGGGAAGAGAGTGGGGGAAGAGAGTGGGGAAGAGAGTGGGGGAAGAGAGTGGGGGAAGAGAGTGGGGAAGAGAGTGGGGGAAGAGAGTGGGGGAAGAGAGTGGGGGAAGAGAGTGGGGAAGAGAGTGGGGGAAGAGAGTGGGGGAAGAGAGTGGGGGAAGAGAGTGGGGAAGAGAGTGGGGGAAGAGAGTGGGGGAAGAGAGTGGGGGAAGAGAGTGGGGAAGAGAGTGGGGAAGAGAGTGGGGGAAGAGAGTGGGGGAAGAGAGTGGGGGAAGAGAGTGGGGGAAGAGAGTGGGGGAAGAGAGTGGGGGAAGAGAGTGGGGGAAGAGAGTGGGGGAAGAGAGTGGGGGAAGAGAGTGGGGGAAGAGAGTGGGGGAAGAGAGTGGGGGAAGAGAGTGGGGGAAGAGAGTGGGGGAAGAGAGTGGGGAAGAGAGTGGGGGAAGAGAGTGGGGGAAGAGAGTGGGGAAGAGAGTGGGGGAAGAGAGTGGGGGAAGGGAGAGTGGGGAAGAGAGTGGGGGAAGAGAGTGGGGTGGGGGGAAGAGAGTGGGGGAAGAGAGTGGGGGAAGAGAGTGGGGGAAGAGAGTGGGGGAAGAGAGTGGGGGAAAGAGAGGTGGGGAAGAGAGTGGGGGAAGAGAGTGGGGGAAGAGAGTGGGGGAAGAGAGTGGGGGAAGAGAGTGGGGAAGAGAGTGGGGGAAAGAGAGTGGGGAAGAGAGTGGGGAAGAGAGTGGGGGAAGAGAGTGGGGGAAGAGAGTGGGGGAAGAGAGTGGGGGAAGAGAGTGGGGGAAGAGAGTGGGGGAAGAGAGTGGGGGAAGAGAGTGGGGGAAGAGAGTGGGGGAAGAGAGTGGGGGAAGAGAGTGGGGGAAGAGAGTGGGGGAAGAGAGTGGGGGAAGAGAGTGGGGGAAGAGAGTGGGGAAGAGAGTGGGGGAAGAGAGTGGGGGAAGAGAGTGGGGGAAGAGAGTGGGGGAAGAGAGTGGGGGAAGAGAGTGGGGGAAGAGAGTGGGGAAGAGAGTGGGGGAAGAGAGTGGGGGAAGAGAGTGGGGGAAGAGAGTGGGGGAAGAGAGTGGGGGAAGAGAGTGGGGGAAGAGTGGGGAAGAGAGTGGGGGAAGAGAGTGGGGGAAGCGAGTGGGGGAAGAGAGTGGGGAAGAGAGTGGGGAAGAGAGTGGGGAAGAGAGTGGGGAAAGAGAGTGGGGAAGAGAGTGGGGTGAAGAGAGTGGGGGAAGAGAGTGGGGGAAGAGAGTGGGGGAAGAGAGTGGGGGAAGAGAGTGGGGGAAGAGAGTGGGGGAAGAGAGTGGGGGAAGAGAGTGGGGGAAGAGAGTGGGGGAAAGAGAGTGGGGAAGAGAGTGGGGGAAGAGATGGGGGAAGAGAGTGGGGGAAGAGAGTGGGGGAAGAGAGTGGGGGAAGAGAGTGGGGGAGAGAGTGGGGAAGAGAGTGGGGGAAGAGAGTGGGGAAGAGAGTGGGGGAAGAGAGGCATGGAAAGACAGCACAGCCTTGAGTGTCACTCTTATCACCCCCACCCCGCTCACCACCTGCGCCACTGTGAAGAGACCTGCAGGCAGGGAATGGGGAAGAGGGTGAGGAAGAAGGGAGAAGGAGAAGGGATCGAAGCACGGAAAGGTGGGGAAGACAGTATGGCCATGAGCGTGACTCCTAACACCCCCACTCAACTCACCATCTGCGCCACTGTGAAGAGACCTGCAGGCAGACAGAGGCACGTGGGGAAGGGGGTGGGGAAGGGCAGGGGGGAAGAGGGAGGGGGACGGGAGAGAGCCAGGGAAGAGGGAGGGGGACGGGAGAACCATGAGCGTGACTCCTATCACCCCCACTCGACTCACCATCTGCGCCACTGTGAAGAGACCTGCGGGGCAAAGCGAGGGTTGAACAGGGCCAGGGGCACGTGGAGGATGGGGAGGAGCGGAGGAGCGGAGGAGGGGAGGAGCGGAGGAGGGGAGGAGCGGAGGAGGGGAGGCGAGGGAGGCGAGGGAGGAGAGGGAGGCGAGGGAGGCGAGGGTGGCGAGCACAGAAGGGTAGTGGAGAGCATAGAAGGGTAGTGGAGAGCATAGAAGGGTAGTGGAGAGCATAGAAGGGTAGTGGAGAGCATAGAAAATAAATAATTCAGTACCATGCCATGTGCGACCCCCTTGTCATCCCCACAAGACTCACTATCTGCCTCCCCCTCCTCTGAAAAGGTCTGGAAGCGGGGCCACATCACAGACACAAGGAGAAACATGGACCAAGGAAGGCTATAAGCCGAAACGGGTTACCGCCGAAATTTTCTCCACAAGGGAAGCAAGCAAACTTTTTAACCAACAATATTTTTTCTTACAAAGTTGAACCTAGTTGCTGCCACAAAAAGATATGGCTCCCGACTGGGGTTCCATCGAGACTATAGGACTGGATTGGAATGTCGATCTGATCTGACCAATAGGGACACGAACCCGTGCCACTAGTTCCTCTGAAGGGGACAGGCACAGGAAACACAGTGCTTCCTTTCCTGGATTTAAGGATACGCAATGAATGAGGGCATGCGGAGGGGGAGGCGTGCCTTTATCGGGAGTGGGCATGGGGAAGGAGATGCCCATGCGCCAAAAGAGGTAGAGGAAGCCTCCCAGAAACACCACCGCCCCCGCTGCTGCACGCTCCCTCCTCATGCCTGTGCCGTGGGGTGGGGGCCGAGCAGTCAGCACACGACACATGCAGGGAGCACCAGGGAGACAAAGGTGAGATTTTAGTCGCCTCTGAGGCACCTCCTCATGCCTGCTATGGGGCGATCAGGAGGTGACTGATGGGGTGAGCAGTGCGCATGGGAGAGATGGATGAGAGAGCAGAGCGGCAATGTAGGGCAGATGGGAGGTGGGTGAGCGCACCACGCCCCTCCTCATGCCTGCCGTGCCGTTGGGCGAGCAGGAGGCGACTGACCGATGGGCAAAGGGCACATGCAGGGAAAACGAGGGGGAATTGGGTCGTCTGCACGGGAACGGCTGATGCTCACCCGCGAACCAGCATGCGTGTGGGGGTCTGTGCAAAGACACGTTTCATTATACCATGCAAGACGCGTTCTGGTCATTGGATCATGTTAACAGCACTTTGAACCAGCATTGACGAGCACGAGGAAGGAGTGGTAGCAGGGCAGCACGACGAGCAGCATTTTTGGGTGTGTGTGCGCAGGCGTGTATGGGGTTTATAAGTGTGGTGGGCGTATTCCAAAGCGTGTACCAGCATTGGCAAGGACGAGGAAGGAGTGGTAGCAGGGCAGCACGATGAGCAGCAGCGCGAGCAGCAGGGAGAGGTCAAAGCGCTAATTCCACAGCCGTGCACTGCCACGTGTCACAGGGAGAACAGCGATTGTAAGTGGAAGTGAGAGTGTGAGTGGTGGAAGCGAGAGGTCAAAGCACCAGTTCCACAGCCGCGCACTGCCACATACGTGCCACAGGGGCCACGAGCCACGTGCAGCAAGGTGATTGGATGATGGGGCGAAAGAGTGAGCACGACAGTGAACGGGGGAATATGAGAGCTGAGGAAAACAATCAAGGTCTTGGAGAGAAAATCAAAGAGATAGGAGACGACCTGGGGTCGAGCATGGCAGGTATCTTGTGCCGAGCATGGGCAGGGAACTGGTACGGATGAGATAGAATCTAACCTGGTGACCACGGGTCAGAAATCAATCTAACCAGCCAACCTGGTGCCCGGAGCACGGGGAGGATCTTGAAGAGCACGAGCTGCAGCAGAAAGAATCCAACATGGTGCCGATGAGGGGAGGTTAGGTACCTGGTGCCAATGGACAGAATCCAACCAACCTGGTGCGACAAGGACAAAGGCCAACCCACCTGGTGCCGAGCACGGGCAGGATCTCAAAAAGCACGAGCTGCAGCAGATTGCAGGAGAGCGCGAAGACAGCCGCGAAGAGCACCTCCACTGCCAGGTACTGCTCCTCGTAGTCCTGGGGGACGGAAGGGGGATGAGAGGGAGGGGCAGGGGAGGAGAAGATGGGGATTGGGCGGACCAACAGACAATGGACAGCCGCGAACAGCACCTCCACTGCCAGGTACTGCTCCTCGTAGTCCTGGGGGACGGAAGGGGGGGAGGGGGGGCGAATGGGGAGACGGAGAGGGGCAGACTCTTGGGTGGGTGGGTGGCAGCAGTGCAGCACACAGCACCTCCACTGCCAGGTACTGCTCCTCGTAGTCCTGGGGGACGGAAGGGGGGTAGTGGGGTGGTGTGGGGGGAGAGGAGGGGAATCGGGCCCATGCACTCAGCCCATGCACTCAGCCCATGCACTCGGCCCATGCACTCAGCCCATGCACTCGGCCCATGCACTCGGCCCATGCACTCGGCCCATGCGCAGTATAGTACCAGCACAGCACAGCACGTGCATGTAGAACATTGTACAGCATAAGACGTCATCAACGACCAGCTATACTCACCATGAGCAGCACACTGGCCCGCCTTATAACGAACACATCTTATAGGCGCGCGACAGGGAAGCACCAGCCATACGCGCTATAAATAGCAAACCGAGACGCTTGTAGCGGGGCGCACCTTGTAGAGGCGCGCGACCAGCCAGCCATACGCGCTATAAGCAGCATGCTGGGCCGGCTTATAACGGGGCGCACCTTGTAGAGGCGCGCGACGAGGAACCACCAGCCGGTGGCGAAGAGCGCGGCGAGCGAGCCCAGCATGACGGACCCCTCGAACACCACGCGCCCCGCGCGCACCATCGCGCCGCCCACCACCGCCATGCCGCGCCGCTGCCCGCACGGCACGGTCCAGTGTGGTAGCCTACCAGGGTACTCGGTACGGTACTATGCTGCGTTTCCCACGGTACGGTGCGGTGCCAGTAGGTTCGTGCTGTTGTCAGGCATTACGAATTTTAGCGATCACCGCCAACGGCGGCACGTTTCTGTCTCTCGAAAGGTGAACGATTTCGTCGCGGCGGGACGATCGGGAAGCTTCGTTCTGCGTTCCTGCGCGCCACGGACTGGAATTCGCTCTCTCTCTCACACGGATCGTGCTTTTTGAACAGACGCAAACTAAAGCGATGAACTGTGCTGTGCTGTAACGATGGCCTTGGGCTTGCGCGACTCGCTCCCAAGAAGCTCGAAGCTATTCCCTTTCCTGGGCTGACTGGGACGAGCAGACAGGCAGCCTTCCGCGCAATGAAACTAAGTAGCGAGAAGAGGGGCGTATTCACAGGTGGAACAAGGGTGTTCTGAAGTTGATACCTGGTCTGGGTCGCTAACGTTCGTGAGCCATGGTTTAGGGCGGTAACTTTGTAGCGACCACGCCAAAAATCCGACCAAATGGCCGGCTCTGGCGAAACCGAAATGTGTAACGCTTAGACGAGCCCCGCCAAACATTTCGAGCACAACGACCATTCTGTTCGCCAGGACGCGGAACAACCACCCTGAACCACCCCCGTAATTTGTCAGAGAAGGTTTGAGCCCAGCATCGAACCGGGTGTGGGAAGTGGTGGGCTCGTGTATTTTAGAGTGTTCAGCAAAATAACGGTGGTGTGAAACCACTTTGGGGGGCTAATACCGAATATCAAACATTGATTTCCTCCTAAGTAGTGGGCCCAACTAGCTTGGTGGGAAGTTTACACAAAGAATGCCATCCGTAAGGGTGACTACTAAGTAATTACAATCTGCGGGCGTAACCCTACAACTTCGCAATCGTCAGAACCGCCCATATGGTCGACCATTTCGTTTGGTCAAAGCAAAGTTACACGCCCTTAGTTCGTGAGCAATGTGTGCCAATTGTTACGCGAAATAAGAACGATGGTTTGCCTTGGTGGTTACTAGAAGGTGAAACTTCAGCTTTCATTTTCAGCGATTCCAATTGTACGGCGAGTTGTACAGCTGTAGTTACCACTCGCTGTAACTCAGAGTTTCGCCAAAACTTGTTGCTGGGGAACGCGTTCGGGATCCCCGCGAACATCACGGAGTAGGCCTAAGCCCGCGTTGCTTTTCAAGCTTCTCTTGACCAATTATCGAATGACACCCCGAATGCCATGTCAGCCTCCAGTGCACCCTAGTCCATCGCGTAACCTAGTAGTCGCCCAATCCTAGCCATGCGGCAACTGTCGAGAGAACTGTGCAGGAATGATTGGATTAGCAAGGGTTGGGGTACAATTACTAACCCTAGAAGTGTTGTACCCCATAAGGAGTGCCCCATTATAGCCTACAAGTAAGATGGTACTTTGACACACCCCCATAGGCTAAGTGGGGGACAACAAGACGGTCACAAGACCAGTCAAGCAAGACAACAGAGCAAAGCAAAGCAAAGCAAAGCTCAAGGTGGATCTCAAGGACACCACACAATCTGAGCACAACCAAGCGGCCACAAGGCCAGTTCACATGCAGAGTATAATAGCAAGGCAGTACACTGATCACAACCTAGCAAGGGCAAACAAGCAGGTATAAAGATATATATCAGTGTACAACAAGAGAAAGTCAAGCAACCAGCAGGTGAGGCAAAGTGGGCACAAGCCCAAGAGCAGTGCAGAAACGCTGATGATCACCAGACCCAAGGGCCTTGGTGAAGACATCAGTAGTGTTGGCCTGCGAGGCCACGTAGGAAAGGCAGAGCTGACGACGCTGCTGCAACTCATGCGCAAGGAAGTAGAGAAGAGCAATGTGCTTCGTTCTGTGCTCCAGTCTCTGCTCGTGACACAAGGCAAGCATTGCCTTGTTGTCGACGTACAGAACCGGAGGAGAACGAGGCCGCTCCCCCAAGTCGGTCAGCAGGTAGGTAAGCCAGCGTAGCTCCTGTGCAGCCATGGCCCCAGCGTAGATCTCGGCCTCACAGCTGGAACTAAGCACAGAAGAAGAACGAGTGGACCTCCATGAGACAGAACCAGAGCCAAGACTGAAGGTGTAACCCTGTGACGAACGCTTAGTCGCCTGGTCGTCGGCCCAAGAAGCATCGGAGTGTCCTGTGAGTACCACTGAACCCTGTCCTCCAAGCACTAGCCCCATGCTCGATGTACTGCACAAGTAGCACAGTACCCACTTTGCAGCATCCCAGTGCACCTTTCGGTGTCTCCTGGGAGCCACATAGCGAGCCAGGAGGCTGAGAGGGTACGCGAGGTCAGGTACTGTGCACGTCATCAGCTACATGAGGCAACCCACAAGCTCTGGGTACGGACCATTCGGCTCTACAGACTCGTCCGAAGGTGGAGCTGAGAGCGAGTGGCCGGTAGACAGAGGAGTGGGCTGTGGCGAGGAGAAGTGGAAAGCGAAGCGCTGAAGGACCTGGTGCACCATGTGTGACTGAGTCAGTGTGATGGTGCGCCGTGCTCTGTCTCAGGTGATCTGCAAGCCAAGATAGCTACGGAGCTCACCCAGGTCAGTGCAGGTGTGTCTCTCCTGCAGCTCCGCCTTCACTAGGGCCAGAGCCTTAGTGTCAGCAGTAGCAAAAAACAAGTCGTCGACGTACACTAGAACGTAGAACGGTGGCAGGGTAGTGTCGGTGCGTAGTAACAGCGAAGGCTCAGCAGAGAAAGGAGCAAACCCAAGAGCCGCAAGTCTAGTCATCAGTGTGTCGTGCCACTCTCGGGGCGCCTGGCAGAGACCGTAGACTGGCCGCCGGAGGCTCCACTGGGTACTTGCAGGAAACGACCCAGTGAAGCCATGTGGGTGGCGCAGCCAGATCTCCTCGTGAAGGCTGCCCTGCAGGAAAGCTGTGGAGAAGTCGAGGGAGTGCAGCTCGTAGTCACGCTGTGCTGCAACATGCAGCAGCACCCGAAGAGTAGTCATCTTCGGGGTGGGGGATAAGGTCTGGAAGAAGACGACCCCCTGTCGCTGACTGAAGCCTCGAGCAACGTAACGCGCCTTGAACCCGGCGGCTGCTTCACTCTGAAAATCCACATGCCATCGACTATGTTCGCCCCAGGAGGAGGAACCTCGTCGACGTAGGTGCCTGTGGACTTCCAGGAAGCCATCTCTGCGTCCATGGGTGTCTGCCACAGAGAGGAGTACTCACCCGCGATCGCCTCAGTGTAAGAGCACGGGGTAGGGATGTCAAGTGCATCCGGGTCTCCCTCAGGGCAAAGCAGCATGGATGCGAAACGAGGTAAAGCGGCCGCAAGACACTCAAGCTCAAACTG